GAAAAACAAGTTTCGAAAAAACTGATCATAAAGTGATCATAGAAATATCGAAAATATTAACAATTTAATATCAATATCAACAATGCCCACGTTTTTTTTTTCTTTTTTTAGAAAGTTAAATTGTTGAACAATAGCTAAATGTAGTCAAAGAAAACATTCTATTGCTTAATACCACAATACTGGTCGACTATACCATGTTTATGATAGGTAATTTGTTCATATTTGTCGGTTGCTGGTTTGTAGCATTTACACCACACATTGTATTTGTGGGTAACTGAGCATTTTTTGTTTTTGGTCTGTGGCAAATATCAAGTTGTAAGAACCAAGGATCCTCAATAATTTGCTCGGCAGTGATACGCAATTTAGGATTTGGTTCTATTATCTTGTTTATTACGCGACGTCCACTCTATTTATAATGAAAATTAATGACTTGAGAATTATATATAATAATAGAATAATATAAATATAAACATATATATACTTTTACTGTTACTTACATCACTTAATCTTTGGAAAGGAGGTAAAAGAGGCCCACCACAAAGCCTTGATTCTAGGTAATAATTGTAATTAAAATCTTCGTGAGCTTTGGCGACGCGCCAAAGATGTCTACCAGTAAGCATTCCCATGTAAATGATTCCGCAAGCCCAAACATCCACAAGTCTTGGATCAAACCAATTACCAGTAAACTCTTCGGGAGCAATGTAAGGTTCACTACCGCAAACCCCACGTGATAAATGAGGTTGTGTCTCCCATGCCATCCGGAAACATTCACTATTTCCGAAATCAGTGATTTTGAGATATCCAGACGAGGTTAAAAGAAGATTCTCAGGTTTAAGGTCACTAAAAAAAAATAAAATAAAAAACAATCAATAAACATAGTTTCTCACTAATTATAAAAATGAATTCAATCATTTACATACCGATGAGCGACACCATTTTCATGCAAATATTTAACCCCATTAATCAATTGACCAAAGAAACAGTCCGCTTCACCTTGTTCTAAGCCACTTGAAGAAAGAATTAAGGAGTATAAATCACCACCAGCACAATATTCCATAACTTCGCAATAGTTTCCCTGGGTATCCTGAAGTAAATCTATTGTGTCGATTACATTGATATGGTGAAGGGAAGAGGAGATACAAAACTCCGATGTTAAACGTTTCATATATTTTTTTGAAGGTTCGTTATGACGCTTTTTGAATTCCTAAATTATAGATTTGAAAAAAAGGTTTTCTTAGTCCTTCGCCCTTGAAAAGTACAAAAAAAAGATTTTTTTAAAAATATAAAATAAAATAAAACAAACCTTGACAGCAAAAAGTTTTTCACCCGGTACTTTTGGTTCTGTTTTGTGGGCAACGCGAACAATACCAAATGCTCCTGAAAAATAATGATAATTGAATTAGTGATTAACAAAAATGATTTATGTGATAAGAAAATAATAAATAAAAATAATAAAAAATAAATAAATAAATGAAATTAAACCATACCTTTACCAACGACCTCCTGAGGCTTCCCATATTTTTCCGACAAGGAAGCATCCGAATTATGTTTCTTT